CCCCCCGGAGCTGTCCTTCAGCACCACGGCCTGCCGCCCCACACACCCCGCTAGAGTTCCATACAAGCAATATATCCACCCTATAGCATGCTCTATAGAACTGAGCCAATCACATGAATTAAATCACGGTATATCTTTCTACATACCTATATCTAATACATAAATGTATTCAAGATGCATAAAATTATACTGGGCGAATTATTCGGCTTGAGAATATCAGTATATAGATATACACTGAGTATTTCTCATTAACTACATAAAATACCTGCCAATAGTATCAAATATCATCTGAAAAAGAAAGATATTAAGACACGTAATGCTAGAACAAACTTTGCCCATAAACTCACCTAATATCTGCAAGTGCATCCTTTTAGTGAAAAAAATCTTAATTAATTAGCCACTGCTAAAATTACAGTTATTTCCTTAATTCTCTTAGATTTACTGATGATTTATTAAAAACTACTTTAGGTGGTTTTTTTCATGATCACTCATTCTTACTCCATCCATTTTTCCAATAATGCAAGCCATGAGCAAATAAAGAATCCCCCATATCCCTTGCTGTATAGGAGATATTTAGATACAAATTCTTTCCACACAGTTCCAGTAACTTGAATCTTTTGACAGAATCCCTGGCCTTCACCAGCTCAAGCTCGTAAGCTTCCTTTCTCCTCTCTGAATGCAGAATCACGTACTCATCCATAGCCACCACGGCACCCTTTGGCAACGAGGTAGCTCATGAATACTAATATCCTCCTAAACATGTAATAGTTACAGACCAAAGAGAAGATGAGCACTCCTTTATAACGAGGGACATTACATTTCTCAAAATAAACTAAGTCTTGTTATTGGCATTATATATTATGTAATTAATAAATCCAAGCTCTAAATTACCTATCCACAAATTTCTCTGTCAGTCTGAGAATATATAGCTGTATTTGTATATGATATATAACATATGCTGCTAGATTAATATGCTACTGTACCATTTATGGTATTTCATAAATTAATTCAAACACAGTGTTTCACAAACCAAAGGACAAACACGTATTCTATTTTAAAATTCTCTGTAGTCAGTCAAGAGACTTTTTTAGACCATAAAAAAGTCAGTTCATTCAATGAAATAATAATTTTGTACAGCCTGTACCAACTGGAACTCCATATTGATCTAACGTGCATATTCATCATATATTAAATCCATGAAATAGCTGTTACAATCAGAAAGAAAATCTTGCTTCTCCTGTTAAGTCACCATATTACAGTCCCATTGGTGTATTATGGCAGTTGAAATCCAGTAACACTTGAAAATTATTATATCTGTTCCTGACAATATTCCTCTATTGCCAAAGAGTGCTCCTCAGTGACAGAGATACTGCCTCTGGAATGAGAGCCCAGCCCATTGTGCTCCAAGTGTAAACTCTCACCAAGGAAAGGATAGGGAAGATTTCACTACAAAAGTCTCCTCTGAGAGCTTCAGGGGTTAACATTCTGCTGTGGAAGATCAGGACATTTCCATGTGGGACTACAGCACCAGAATCTCTTTTGTGAAAATGCCTTTCTCAGTAACACACTGACCAGAGAATTGTGCAAGTTTCACAGCTCTGATGGTTATTTTTTAAACTTGTATAAATTAGCAT